ACCATGTGAACATATACACTTATAGTTACAAATTTAATAAACAAAATTAGTGAATATTAACAGAAGTAGAAGCAAACGAACAAGGACATCAAATTCAACTTAAGCAGAACAATAACAAAATTAATAGCAAATTGGTGAGCATTAATAGAAGCAAACGAATAAGGACAACAGAGGGCAGAAATAATAACAACTAATTGTAGAAGCAAAAGCAGAAACAGAAGCAGAAAGAACGAGATATTCACAACAATATTCACAGCAAAGTTCAGTTCTTTGATCATTTGAAGTCGCAGAAAAATAAAAGTACAAAAAAAATGAAATACATATTTGTGGAGCTACAAGCCTACCAATTCAAAGCAAATGGGTCAACAGAGAGAAGAATCGATACCACTGTTATACTATAGCAAAGCTCTCCTGCAAGTTTAATAGAGAGAATAATATTTAAAAGATGTTTCAATTTGAAACAAAGGATAGCAAAGGAAGAAAGAAACAAGTAACACTCATCTAACCTTATTCTTAGATTTGAAACGGCGATCAAGGATTCAAGAGTCTTCTGCTCCTCTACTCTTTTCCGCAACTGAAATGGATTTGAAGATTTCTTGAAATTAAATTACGTCTTCTCACTTCTGCGTTCGTTCCTTTGCTCTTCTTGTGTTGGCCTTTTAATTATAAAAGGCCAAGACAACATCGTTTCGGCCATGAGTATAAAAAAAATAAACTTGGGTCTCAACCGGGTTTGACTGGTCCGTCCAGGTCCCAGGTTGACTCTCAGGTTGAGTGGGTCAATTCCCAACCTATTTTTTCTTAGACCCAGCCTTGCCACATACCCGGATCCCGGGTCAACTAGTCAGGCTGAGTCGGGTTTTAAAATACTGATTTGGAGTGTAAAGGAGTGAGTAGTTATGATTATTTTTTAAAGTATTTTTTATTTTAAAATATATTAAAATAATATTTTTATTTTTTAAAATTTATTTTTGATATTAGTATATTAAAGTATTTTTTTATTTTAAAATATATTAAAATAATATTTTTATTTTTTAAAATTTATTTTTGATATTAGTATATTAAAATGATATGAAAATAAAAAAAAAATATTAATTTAAAGTAAAATAAAAAATAAAAAAAATAAATATTTATTTTTTAAAAAATACTTTCAAAACATAATGTTAAATACACCTTTATGTTTATAAATAGCTTTTTAGTACCTGATTATTTACGTGGCAGCTTTTGCTTTTAATGCAAACCGTACATGTTGAATGTTTTAACCGCACATATTGAATGTTTGCTAATGTTAAAACATATTTTACTGTTCACACAAGACCCATATAAAATTTGTTTAAAACGCATATTTATGGAAAACAACTATTTCCTAGCATCTTGTGGATAGTGAACAGTGGAGAGTGAAACTATACTATTTACGTGAGCAATGAAATCACTCTTCATTATTCCTGTCGAATTAAATTATGTCTAAAGTTAAATGTATTGAATTTGATCTGATTCATTTTAAAAAAAATCAATATATATATATATATATCTATTTTATAACCTTAATTTGAAATGCATTTTTTTAACTAAATATATTAAATTAATTTTTATTTAACCTTAATTTTAATTATATTTTTTATTAAATATATATAAATATCAAATCAATCCCAACTAAAAATATTTTTTTAAATTCTAACAATAAAAATTATTATAATACCCAAATATACACCCCTGACGAGTGGCTGGGGGCGGGGTGGCACCGCGAA